AATCGAAATGGACAACAAATTGCTTCATATCTTAATTAAATAAAAAAAAAAATTTAAATAACTATTATTAGTTCTTAATAAAAAAAATAAATAAATAAACTATATAGTTATGTTTAACGTTTATACAAAACTTTCATGTTCTATAATAATTGTAAGATAGTAGAAAAAAATTTCATAATAATATATTTTTTATTTTAATAGACGATAGAATTTTCTATTTAATACATTTTATAAATAAAATTTCATAGATAAACTATGATGACAGAGTTTCTTAAAAAAAAACCTAAGCATTGTAGTTTACAATATCATGAAAATCGAGACAAGAAAAAGATGATTTTTTTGAAAAAATTTCGTTTTGTTTGTAGTATAGTTTTAATTGTTTAAAGAAAGAAAAATGTAGTAAACTCTCATCTTCTTCAGAATTTTGGCATTTTTAAAAAAATAGTTTATTGGTCTTGAAAATAAATGTAATTGGTTTAGAATGAACTACATAGAAAAATCTATTAGCTATCAGAGTGTGATACGCCAATCATAAATCTATGAGTTTCAACTTTTTCTATTGTCCTTTAAGAGAGAAAATTTCAAAATACTTAAGGATTGTAAATGTATTTATTGCTGAAATTTTCGTTGAACTATATTTTTCTCTCTTATTTTCTATCAAAAATCTCCTTGGCTTTGAATTCAAAGATTGTCCTATCTAGCTTCTCTTATGAAGCTCAGTGCCATTCATCGATTGAAACTCTCAACGCTCAACTTTAATAATATCCATTTAGTTTTTTAAAAATTTTGAATTATTAATCAGAAAATGAAAATTTCCAACCTAAAGGATGACACTAGCCGTTTCGACCAATAGACTATCAGAAAAGAGCAAAGTGTACACTGTGTTTGAAATCAGTTTAAAAAAAACTGCGTTCAGTCTCCAACAAAAGACTCTTCTTGTTTGAAATTCATCCAGAGTGGACTACAGTTTCTTTAAGCTGACGAGGGAACACATAGAACTGATCAATTGCTTTTAAATCGGGGTTATAGGCATCATATAGGTCTTTATGAGCTATGAATACTCTGAAAAGAGTTCAGGCTCATAGCTAATTATTGCTAAGATATTGCATTTTTAGAGTATTTTTTCTCTCAATCTCGTGGTCTCCCTCAGAAACAACAACCAGGACAACAGAGTTTCAAAATTAGACTTGAAATTTTGCACAGAGACAGATCTTAGTGAGAATAGTTTATTGTGAAAGTTTCAGATCTTTTCCATTACGTCTATTCTGAAATAAGAACACAGGAATCCGCTGGTGTATCAGGGATGCGAGCAACATGCTCTTATCATAGCCGTGTCTTAGGATAGGAATAACGAAAAGATCTGAAACTTTCACAATAAACTATTCTCACTAAGGTCTATCTCTGTGCAAAGTTTCAAGTCGAAATTTGAAACTCTGTTTTCCTGGTGTTTCTGAGGGAGACCACGGAATTGAGCGAACAATGCTCTAAAAATGCAATATCTTGGTAGTAATTAGCTATTGGCTCGAACTCTTTTTAGGGCGTTCATAGCTCACTAGGACCTACATAATGCACATAGCCCCGACTCAAAAGCGATTGATCAGTTCTGTGTTCCGTCGTGAGTTCGAACATAACATCCACTTTGTTCTTTTCTGGGCAGTTAGATGATCCAAATGGCTCAATTTTTATAGAATTTCACCCTCTTAGGTCGAAAATCTTCATTTTCTCACTATTAAAGCCTTTCTCTGAGAAATTCTAATACAATAAAACATTTGGCATCGTAACCTTCATACAAAAACTAGATAGATTTTCAAATTTGAACACTAACGAGTCTTATTAGGAAGTTCAACACAAACATATTTTATAGTTTGAAAAATTTAAATTTTTCTTAACTGAGTAATTTTTATTCATTTTTACATTTTGTGAAATTTCAAAAATTTATTATTCACGCCTTATTATTGAATGATAACATCAATTATATCCATTAAAATCTTTTCAACTATTATTATAGAAGAACAAATAAAACATTCAAAATGAAATTTGCGCTTGTGAAAGCATATAATAGACAATCTAGCGTAATAATTTAATAAGCAGCTTTGTTGTAAATTCAAAGAAGAGTTTTCTCATTCGTGCTTCAATTTGACAAGTAATATCATAAACACCTCAATTCAATTTTCAATTTGTCAAGAATTAGTAATAGGTCAATAATATAATTCTATCATCTATGAACATCATTCTATCATTTTGTTTTGTACAACTTAATTTTATTAACTCATTTTTCTTACCGATCATATGTCATTGCAACATTAATAAATGTTGTTGAAGCAAGTGTAACAACTTGAATATAAAGTGTTAATTTACAAGCAAAATTTCCTAAAATCCATTGTTGATCAAATATTAAAAGAAATAATTCTGATGTCATTGTACATAAACATATTGTTAAATCACCAATAGCTAAATTAAGTATAAATAAATGTAAACGTGTTCGATGTCGATGATGATAAAATAATTCATATATAATATAACTATTACCAATTAAAGTTATAAACATTATTATTAATAATATAATAATACGAATAATTTTATCAGTTGACCATGAATAAAAATACATAGTAGAATTCAATGAAAAATTATTCATTATAAACTAAATATTAAAAAAACAAAAAAACAAAATGAATTTATACTTTTTTTTTTCTATAGATAAAAAATCAACATTCCTTTTTTTTTCTAATTTTTTTACATAGTCAAAAATGATTTTCTTTTTGTCTCCGTTGAAGAAATATCTATTCGATATTTATTTTTTCTCATACGTTTATGATGATTATATTGATACAACACTGTGATAATTAGGTCATATTATCATTTGTATACAAAGAAATCAATTTGTCCATTTGATGCAAATTACATTCCTTTTTTTTTCATCATGTAAAATAACAAGACTACCTTTTTTCTTTTGTCTAATGTCACTATAATATCTAATTGTACTTGTTGATAAAAGTATTGAACCATTCTATGGATAAATCTCTTTTAAAACTGATGACTGAATAGTAAAGTATGTAGACAGATTTAAAACATTTGGTTTCTTCTATCTAATAATACCTTAGTTGACTGTAAATAATGTCTGATACGTACATTTTAAATAATGATCTTGGTTTAACATTATTTTCACAGTCTTTTCTATGTAATCCTATAGACAAGTATTATGATTACCAATAGAGAAGTACGTTCTTCTCGTTTCCGTTTTTTTTTCTTTCATCCAATGTTTTTCATTTATTTCTATTCTTTCAAATAATAGGTTTTTCTCGTTAGATTCTTTTCATTTTCTATCAAGTATTTGTACTTATTCTTTTTGTATACTTTGATGTCTATATTTAAATTTTTTCTTTATTAGAACTATTTCAACGTTTTTTGTTTTTTTTTAATATAAGATTTACTTCGAACTTATGTTTTTGTTCTATTAAACATCAAAATCTATACCAATGTAATAATAAGCCTTAGGGTATTAAACTCTTTAATAAAGCTTAATTATATATATATATATACACATTAGGAAGATAAGCAGTCTTTCATCTTAGCTGACGGAAAATATTTTTCTAGTTGTTCTTCTATTTGACTTAGAAAAAGTCTAAACTACGACAAATACGTGTTTATGAAAGAGCTTGTTAAAGCAACTAGACCAAGAAAAAAGAAATGTACATCCATATGAATGTATGTTAATTCAGCAAATCATAAATTAGCTTCTAAATACACAAAAAAGTATATAGCACATCAAATTCTACTCAACTCATCAATCTAACAAAGTAAACAACCTTTTTCTATCAAAGAAAATTTACTTTTTTTTTTGTTCTTCTTTTTTCTTAATCTTGTCTAATATAATAATTATAAAAAAAGAATCAATTATTTTTCTTTCCCTAAAGCAAAAGATTTCTTTCAATTAAATTCTAATAGAAAAAAAAAAAATTATCAATCAATGTATGAAATACAAATTTTTCAAAATTAATATTCTTTGAATTTCATAAGAAACTATTATTTTGTATTGTACCAACACTCTCAACATACAATCACAATGCTAATTTCTAAAATAAGAAAAATAAATTTTTGAGAAATATTTTGAAAACTTATGAAAAATCACTAATCAATATTATTCATATTAATTTTATTGGCTATGATGATATATGATTTTAAATAAATAAAATAAGATTTCACTTAAAATCTAACAATCGATATAATTATCTCATTTATTCGAAATACTATAATATAAGATTTAGAAGATTTCAATAAGATAATAAATTGTTATTCGATTGATTTCTTCGTCATTGTATTAATCTTATCATTAACGTTACTTTTCGACATCAAGAAGATTATCTTGTTTTTTTTTAACACTAATAGACAATATCTGTAAATACTATCAAATAAATAATAGTATTCCTGAAATAAACGCTTTGTAACGAGTAAATATATGACAACATGAAAGAGTAATGTTACAACTATCTTCAATTATGATGCTTACTTTGCAAATTTTCAAAAAAGAAAATATGTATCTCACACGCAACACAAGTTTTGTACTAAAAATAAAAACAGTGAGAAATACATCAACGATTAATAGAAAGAAGAAAAAGATGAATAAGCTAACAAGAATTTCATATTATTATCAGTGCATTGTTACATTCTATTGAGCATCGGTATAATTGGACAAGAAACAGAGAAGATCAAGAACAACTAATAAAGAAAAAGAATGAAAAAAACCAACGCATAACGCTATGTTAAGTTCATTATCTGGATTTAATGTACCAAGAAAAAAAAATTAACTGGTTAACACTGAATATAAGAGACCTCTTGAATCACTTATATATCAATTAGAAAAGTTACTATACAATTCTTGCTTTCCATATTAAAAAAAAAATAATCCAAACGCAAAAACACAGATGTTATAGTACTATTAGAAATCAGAACAACAATAAATGTGGAAAAAAAAATATCGATTTGGTACAATGTCGCTCAAGCAAATGAGAATTGCTGAAAATGTGTTTAAATGTTCTAATCATGATTTTCATTTGAATGTTTTTCATCTCCATTTAGAGAAACAACTTCTACATCTGGCAAGCGTGCATCCTTTTTTTCCCCATAATATTGTGATGTCTTTTGCATATGAATATGACTTTTTTTTTATAAATGCATCGCATATATGTCAAAAATATTATGAGAAAACTTTTTGAACGTTTACCACATGTAAAAAGTTGCCTTTTAAAATGTTTTCATGTATTTTTTTATGATGAAAGTAGTTCAATATGATAATTTTTTGAAAAGAAATGCAAGCATTCAAATAGAAAGTGTTCTCAGATATTCATGCATGCTTGGAGATTTAAAAGAATGTATATAAAAAAGTGTATTTATGACGTATTCTCAATCTTCATCAATTCATATTTCACATAAAAAAATCAACGATTTATATTTCATAGACTAATATATAAAATAGAAATTAACTATTTAAACAATTCATTAATTAGCGCACAGTTCTCAGTACTGCATCTATAACAAAGATATCTTGTTAATTCACTTCATTTTTCTATGCTTTAACATATCAACCTTTATGCTAAATAGTCCTTGTGTATTTGATAGAAGTACATCTAACAATAATTGAGAGGATATCTATCATTTTCACAATCTATGTATTATTATCTGGATAACAAATAACTATCATTGTTTACAGCTGATACACAATCACATTTAAGATTATCAATACAATATTTGTTATGACAAAAGTGAAAACTTATACGATTGAGTAGTTGAGTGATGAAATAACTCAAAAGGCAGCAGCATGATAAGTATAGATCTTAAAAAAGAAAGTACTCTGAGTAATGCACTATTATCACTCTAATAGTTGCTGACAAGCACGTCTACTAGTGTTCCGCAAAATTTTAGTTCTTCTATTAGTATTGCATTTATATATTGACGACACGAAACGAAACTATATCCTTTAGATTGTTGCTTTCAATCCATTTGTTACATCAACATGCATATTTTAACACTCATTGTTGTCAAATTAAGTCATTCTGCTAATGTATATGAGTGTGGACAACTTATTTTCATCACTTTGGACAAATTCAATTTTCCATTTTCTTCATATTTCTTTTTTTCTTTATAGAAAATTTGCTTATTTGACTCAACGTAATAATGGCAAAGAACAGGACAAAGATTAATAAAGTGAATTATGTGAAGACAATGCAGCACGTATTAATATTACTTGGTAGCTACCTTGGAGCTATGCATTATTGGCCAGATTCTAACAATTATTTAATAAAGTCTTTTCTGGCTCTCAGTCACACTTCTGCTTATCTTAGCAATAATATAGCATTCAAATATTATCCATTTGTTTATCTCTGAAAATTATCCATACTGCTATCTAGTAAAATGATAATTCATGATGTTGAGTTTTTCTTGAAAACCTATGTAGGAAAGAGAAATGAACAGATAAAAGAACAAAAATAAGAAAATGCTAGAGACAATAAAGAGTTCAATATAAGACTGATATCAAAATCAACACACAGTCCTAATGTTACAAATAATGTCTACTAGTTTTTGATTCTTTACCTATTCAGATGATACCGTAATTGCGAGTGTAACTATTGGTTTAGAAATTCTCATATTCTAGCAACTTTATTTCATATATGATTTATCATATAACAACTAAATTCAATCATACAATAAAAAAACTATATGATAAAGTTTTCATAAAATTTCCATGGTAAGGATCAAATTATCGAAAATACTGTCTCAATCTTCTGAATAAAATAGAATTGTCTATTTTTATGCATATGATATTAATATTTATCAAACACAATTGTGTAATCATTTTGATTTAAAATTTGATATCATGATTTAATGATAATAAAGAATGATGCAAAAGTCTTGATCGTTTTTACAAAAACATTGCCTTTACTTCGTTATTAAAAAGTCAAAAATGCTCAATGTTGGACATCTAATCTCTTGCAATCAAATGAATATTACTCTAAATTTTCATAAAAAATTCTTTTCCATATCCTAAAATCGAAAAATCAATCTTATTATTCTTCGATAATGTTTACAATAAATAATTTTTACTTCAAATATAGTCACAAACAATACAATATTTTATACTTTCTATCTCGTTACAGTCATTTCTATTGATTAGATGCTCTTGTTTATTAACTAGACATTATTATCATCTTGGTATTGGATAAATTAATTTTGAATACATTTGAAAATCGTTTTCTGTCAAAATTTATTCTTTAACTATTTTATATTTTTGCAATAGACATTCATTAAATAAGATAGAATTTAAAAAAATGCCGGAAAGTAAAAGTTCTATAAGAAAAAATAATGAGCGAATAGCAAAATATAGAGCACCCGTAGAAAATATCAAAGAATTTCTATTCGAAATTCAGAAATTAGAAAGGCTCTTACTCTAATGTTCTATTATCTACCTATGTGGATTCCATATTTCAGCCTCCAAAGGAGAGTTCAGTAATAAGCTTTTTTTAAAGCCCAATTCAACATACTACATGCATGTTGGACAAGAAATATATGAGTTTATTACACAACGCATTGTATTTGTATTTGAGTATTTCTATA